TATATTAAAAATATAAACTATAACAGAAAAATAATTAAAAACTTTAAATCAAATGTAATTTTAATGAACTTAACTTAACCATAAAATGAATATTTAACGTTAATAGGTCTTTCCCCCCCATTCCAAGTGTAAACCAACGTAATCTACTTAAAAAAGATTAAAATGTAATCCATACGGTAATTAAAACAATTAAGAGTTTGTATTATCAGTCTCGACTATAAAGCAGACAAAGAGAGGAACATTCGTTTTATGTAAAAAAAAATTATACGCACACATGCTTTCGTGGTGCACAATAGGCTTCTATAACGTCGAAGGAAAAATAATGATTACAAAAAAAGCAACGGAGACGTAATTAACTGGCATGTGTACGCGTGTTTGTGTGCATACGTTCATATTCATTTCTTCCTTAATTATGCAAGAGCTCAAGGAAATACCTAATGAAACACTAATAGTTATCTTTTAACAAGTACCCTAAACGGGTAATTTATATTCATTCATATCATGAAGAACGCGAATGGAAACTGATATCTTTTTATATACTGGGTGATTCCAATTTATTTTGCTTTAGATATGCGGACAAACGGACGAGCGGCAAATATATCCGCTCAACTTTTTTTTATGCAGGAAACTGATATACTGGGTGATTCCAATTTACTTTGCTTTAGAAATGAAAATGGACGAGCGGCGGATATATCCGCCCCATTTTGTATACAGGAAAACTATGTTTGTGCATACGCCATGTGGAGGCGCAGCCATCAAATTTTAGTTCATTGTGAGCCGCTACTATTTTTTGAGACAGTATCGTCATATTAAGAATTTAATTAAAAATTGAAATAAATAAATTGTACTTAATCAACTTGCAATTAAAACTTGAGTAATTGTGAATAATATTTCATAGGATTAATGAATATAACCTACAATATAAGATCTAATATATTAAGATTAGGTTAAGATCAAATTGGAGATGGTTTTAATCCTATTAATCTAACCTAATATAAACACTTGCTTTTAAAAATCTATTCTTAGTGCAACTAAATTTATATTCTAATCTAATCTAAGGTATAAGCTCAATTAAACTAAAGTTAGATTGATTTAAGATACAATGGTATTGGTATTGTATCTTGACTTAACTCTTGCATCTTAAATTTGTGTGTGTAAACAAACCTAAGGTATAAGATGTCTAAACTAAAGTTTGGTAAGGTTAGGTTAAGATATAATATCGTAGGATTGTAATTTCATTTGTATCTTAGCCTAATCTTAACGATTGCTTTATAAAAATCTATTCTAACCTATTTACATGTCATACCATAACCTCAGGTAAAATCAGATTATCGTTAGTGGATTATGTTACCATATACTGTTCTAATCTAACTTAACCTAAAATTAATACAAATAACTTAAATCTGTCATAGCCTAACTTCAGATATCTTAAAAAGATATACCAGCAAATCACCGTATATTTGCAAAACTACATTTAAATTTTTAATGTAACCTACGCTATAAGATATATTAAGCTACGGTTAGGTTAAGTTACAATAGGATATGATTCGAATGCTATTGTATCTTAACTTAACTTATATAATATAAACTGTTGATTTTAAAAAATCTATTCTTTATGGAACTTAAATTTATATTGTTTAAACTAACATAAGGTTAGGTAAGGTTAGGTTAAGATATTATAGCAAAAAAAAATATAATCTAACCGCTTTTAACATATCATTCATATCGTAGTCTAACCTATTTTTCATGTCATATCAGATTAGGGTAAGTGTATTACGTCAACATAACCTGTTCCAATCTAAATTAACCTAAAATGAATTAGAATAACGTAATCTGTATAAATTAAACTAAAATTACTTTAAAAATAAGTATTAATTTTTAAAGCAAAAAAATGTATATTTGCAATATAAAATCAAAATAATTATGTAAATTAGGACAAAAAGGTTAGAATGTTTAGAAATCGCGTCAATTAAATCGACGATTCTCATTAATAATGAGCATTTAATTCCATGCAAAATTAAGTTCAAAAATTAAATGAGAACTTATGTGAATACATTATTTGGTTGCAAATGTGAAAGCGAATTACGGCTCATAATAGATTAATTTGAACAAATTAACATTTGCGCGCATGCTACACTTTTGCAACAGACATTTCCGGTGCCAAAAGTGAAATTGTCTGTTGCGCATTCATAAAAATTTGCCAATTTTTTTTTTTGTACCGTTTTCATTTCTCTTTCATTTCGATGTTTTAGGTGAACGGAACAATTATATAAACTAAGCACTTTTGCTTTATTTAGTTTTTTTTTATGTGTGTTTTGAAAGCAATTCCGTGTGATTAATATTTAATTGAATTGTTTGCTACCGTGTCGTAATTATTTCAAAATGAATTGTAGAACACTTTGATGTTTAATTGCAAGGTCGAGTATGAATAAAGAAAATACGTGTATCATAAACTAATCTGATGAAATAAATTTATTTGGATGTTATGTGTTGAAATGTGCGTGTTTTATGAATGGGAGATGATTTGAATTGAAGGTTTCAGGTTGTATGTGCATCATGGTTCACTCTGTATAATGCAAATTCATTCATATACGAGTTGCACGACACAGGACGTGCACTTTTAACTGTATGTCATTAATGATTTAAAACATACACATTTTCTCATTTAATTGATGAACTGATGCAAGGCTTTATATAATCAGCGAATGGATGATCAATTATAATAAATACAAATGCATGGACAAAAAATAACAATTTTGTTGTTCAAAATATTTTGAAATTTATTTAAAAGAATATATGAAAAGTCAGTCAGTTTTTATTTACAATCTATTGTATAGAACATTTATCAAATCTCTTCGTTGTTAACATTAGGTGCCTAGTGGCACCATTCCATAACGTTAGTATATAATATTTATTTATTTATTCCTTACTTATATCTAAATTGGAGATCCAAGAGCTTGACTGGTTCGTATGTGAATCAAACCTGTTCATGTTATTTTTGGAGAAATCTTTGGCAACCTCTTCTACTGTTTTCATTTCAAAGTCCTGGTGCAGTCTCTTATTGTACCATGGTGTACCATGGTGCACCCGCGATTCTTCTAATACATTTATATTGAAATACTTGGATTTTTTTAATATTAGTTTCCCATAATTGGATACTGTATGTCCAAGCTGGTTTTAATATGACTTTGTACACCAGCAACTTGTTCTCCAAAGTCAACTGTGAATTTGTGTGCAGCAACCAATACATCTTTCTAAATTTTATTTCTAGTTGTTCACGCTTTGCCTGGATATGGTCCTTCCAAGTCAGTCTCGTATCCAGATGCATTACCAAGTATCTCACCCTTAAAGATGCTGGAATAACTTTGTTGTTGAGTTTGACTGGAGGACAGGTGTCTCGTTTTAAGGTAAACGTAACATGCACTAATTTTGATTGGTTTATACCATTTTCTGAACCATCTCGAAGGTGTTGAGATGCAATTATTGGTCGTCTGATGCCATGATTGCTGTGTCATCTGCAAATGTTGCCATATTTGTTTTCTCTGTTGTTGGTATATTTGTAGTGTATAATAGATATATAATTGGTCCCAATACACTACCTTGTGGAACGACCGATTCGATGAGACTCAGTTCAGTTTGTGCTTCCTCAAATTTGTTAAAAAAAATCGATCATTTAGGTAGGATTTGTTAAAAATAATGAAAACTATTTGATTCAGATTAAAATTAATGAACAAAATTTATCAAAAATTCAGAAAAACCTACGTAAATTGCTTATAGAAATTCCAATAAATCTTTTAATAAACTATACAAAAAATATAAAAATAAAATTTCTTAGGTAAATTATTTAAAATTTGATTAATGATAAAATAACTAAATAAAATTTTAAACAAATATAGAAAACCATTCAGAAAAGTCATAAGATGTTAGGTGAAGTTTATAAATAACTGTGAATTGGGGAAAAAATACAAAATTCTCAATATTAGAAAAAAAAATAATTTTAAAATCATTCAGAAAAACTCAGTAATTCATTTAATAAACTTTAATTTTATAACTCATAAAACTCAGGTAAATCTTGTAATAGAATTTAAAATAAACTTGGTTTAATTATTTGGAAAACCATACAGAAAATTTTATTTAAAAAAAACGTAAATTAGAAATATTCAAAAACTCACTCAAGTAAATTGTTTAATAAACTTTATAAAAAACGTATTTCAATTTGTTAGACTATATTTTACAATTGTATATTTTTTTTTACAATGAGTTTTAATAATTAGTTTACTGTAATTGGTTAATAATGTATTCACTGATGAAGCAAAAACACAAAAAAAATGGGAACATATTTGAATAATGCTATCGCATTGTCTGCTGATAAAAATAATGGAACCTGTTGACGATTAGAGGTGTTAAAACAATAAATTGCATTGGAATATTCATGTCGTCTACACAAACACACACATATTGTGCATTATTCCCCTCATACGGGTCTACTCGTAATAAACGAAGATATCGGTGAAATTATAAATGATAATTAGTTACGCGTGTATCAACTACCTGCAAGAAAAATTAAGCTTTAAACATAGCATTTTAATATCTTTTTATATAATTATAATAAATTATTTTATTACAAAAAATCAACAATTACTTTTAACACAAATACTTTATATGGGTCAAAATGACCCGTTTATTAATTATTCAAAATATAATAATTTATTAATTTTTACAACATAGTTTAAAATCCAAATATTGGTGACGTTTCAAGAATGAAATTGCTATAGACGGGTCACTTTGACCCGACATACACACCATAAAAAAATAAGTACATCTAAAAACAAATATCAAGTTAAACATCTAATACAAATAATAATTGGTACAAGGTCTTTAAATAATTGCAATAATTTCATAGTTATCTTACAAAAACAAAGTTATAATTGTCGACCTCCGATTGCTTTTATAAAGGTGATCCCGAGTGAAACAAGTCAGTTCAATTATATTGATCAACAATGATAAATGGAAATAAGTTTTTAGAGTATTTCCAAGGAAAGTCCATTTTTATAACGGGATGCACAGGTTCCGTGGGAATGGCTCTTCTGGAGAAATTCCTAAGATCATTTCCTCAAATCCAGAAAATTATTTTGCTTGTTAGAAGCAAGAAATCGAGTAATGCAACATCAAGGATATTGCATTATTTTGAAAATCCTGTAAGTTTTTAATCACATTACTTCAATATTGTGTTAATATTATTTATTGTAGATATTTTCGGTGATGAAAGAAGTGAATAAGGATTATTTAAAGAAAATTTTGTGGGTGGAAGGTGATGTGATTAAACCGAATCTTGGATTAGGCGAGGAAGATCTTAGTTATATACAAAATAATGTAAATATTTTCTATCATTGCGCGGCAGCAGTTAAACTAGCAGACACTTTGAAGAATAGCATTCAAAATAATTTACATGGAACTGAAATGGTTTATAATGTAGCGAAAGGATGCAGGAATATTCAGGTAGATTTTCTAAACTAAATAAATAATGTGTAAATTTATATAAGAATTCTTAGTGTTTCATGTACGTATCTACGATTTTTTCAAATCATCGAGTTACTCCGACCGAATTGAAAGAGGAAATCTACAAGAATCCCATTAATCCAAATCTCCTGCTCGAGATGGTCAACAGTCTGAACAATGACGAACTGCAAGAACGTTGCAAGGAATCTAAAGATTGGTAATGTAGTTATGTTTTTAGCAAAAACGCGGCTGAAAATCTGATTGACAATAAAAGAGATAATATAAAAAAAGGAATATTACGAATTGGATGCGGTAAATCATATGCTATTAATAAGATTATCTTATAAATAATGTTGGACATTTTAGTGATGGAAACTTACCAAGAACCTATTGCTTCTTGGCTGATAAACGAAAATGCGCTCAATGTGCTTCTGAAAAATGCGACAACTGGAATTGTTTTCAAATGCCATCCAAATTCTAGCCTCTATTGCGTACCTATAGATTTATGCATAAACGCCCTAATAGCATCAACATACGATACTGCACATATTCAGTAAGGAGCAATTCTCGTATTTTTTTTTTTGATAATAGCAGATTTTTTTTAGAGAAAACCTCAAAGTTTACAACTTGGGAACAAATCATCCAAAATTATCCGAAATATTCAAATGGTATATTTCGGAGAACGTGAAGAATCCTTGGTTAATCTTCGGTAGTTTAAAATATAGGTTTCTGTGTCACATGAAAGATTTGGTTCTGGAGATGAGCGGAAAACGAGGAATTTATGTTAAAGAAATGGAGGTGTTGGAACGTTTTATAGAGATCACGCGAGAATTCGCGTACAAAGAGTTGTACTGTCACAGCGAGAATCTGGATGTCCTTTGGAATGGTCTCAATCAGAGCGAAAGAGAGTTGCTGTTCTTTAATTTAAAAGAGATTGATTTTGAGAAATATGTTAAAGGTTGGTTTAAATTGAATAAGGACAATTTGCTAAATCCTTTAGATAGTAAATCGACTTTGTTATATTTATCAAAATTGTAAACAAAGATATATTTTCTGCAAATTTTTATCATTAAGTATTGAACGTCCGATTTAGAACTGAAAGTTTGTTTTATTATATCTCAAACAAGAGTATATTTGTTTTTTCTACAGTTTGTTCTAACACAACATTTTTCATTGTAAGAAGTGGTACAATGGCTGAAAACAGTCCTAGTCACTTGCTGCAAGGTCTGAGGAATACTGTAACAGAGAATCTTTAAGTCCAGCGCCTATAGTTTGACCAGCATTATTTGTACGAAATGTGGTGGCAAGAGGTATTGCCTTTATTTGCCAATCCCAAGATGCGTCATCATTTTGTCTATTTGGTTACAGTAAATATCAACATAAACGATTGACCAAGTCTAATAAAGCTGTAGCGAAATTCACCAGAGGTGGACTACCAAACAGACTTCATAAGCTATTTTTGGTGAATATTTAGTTTCGGAGTGTGTTGTAGCATTTCATCATAATCAAATAAATGTGCTGAATGTTTGCTATTATCTAAAATAATCCATTTTTGTCACTCGTAAAAATATGGTTTAACATTTTGAAGGACCAGCAATTCCTAAATTTCTAGACCCAACAAATTTCTAGACAACTAAATCAGACAATATAGTCAACTGATTTAACATTTGATTATATGGACTACCTTCACAAGAAAAAAAACAAAAATTGTTTAAGTAAAATATCAGAGATATAGGGTATCTAAGTTGGTACTATTAACCAGAAATATTATGAATTGTACACGAGTAAATTCTTATCAGTACTAATATGATTAGTTTCGAATTATCTTCTATTTACATTCAGACAATTAAAAAAGTAATAATTTCATTGACCCGTACAGGAAATAAATGCAAAAAAAAAACGATATCTCTTATGAAATATACGTTCGCGATTTGCAAAAGTCATTGATTTGCGTAGAATAATGGAATTTCAACTTTGACTTGTGTTTTCCAATTTATTTATGCACGAGTTCCATAAATTTAGCGAAACTTTAATAGATTTATTATCATATTGATACGCCTATCCCCCAACTTACACGGCTGAGAAAAACATGTAAATCGAAATTATAATGTAAACGTTGAATGTAAAACCGTATAAATTGGAAAGTATGTACAGTAATGCATAATTCCGTTGTTTATTAATGATGATTTTTTAATAAAATGTTGAATTATCAACATTTATTTTTTAATTTGTTTATATTTAACCGTAGAAAAAAGTACAGTATAAAATAAGGGATAGGTGTATTTATACTATAATAATTATATATATAGCACTTTTACATCTGTAATCATTTATATTATTATACACTTTTTTTTAATATTTTTTAAAATTTTAAGCGTATTTAGCATAATTTTAAAAGCATTGCAAATTATTCAATAATAATACAATATTTATTAGTCACAATGCGACGTATCAATCCCCTGATTCATACTCGTAGTAGACTCCTGCTGCGGGTCATCGACGTCGAACATCAAAGACATCATTTTTGTCCCAAAAAACAGACGTGTGTTTCAAGATTAAAGTTGTTTATAAATCGTCTCTTCAAGCGCTGCAGCAACTCTGCATGATTTTCTGCATTCCTAGGCGAATTTAATTTGTTGATATAACTATGTGGTCGTGTATTGTTATCGGTCTGGGTATTCTGTTGTCCTGAAGGTCTTTAGGTAGCTCACTCGTCTTTTTGTAAGTGGGCTTATTTTGATGGTTTGACGATATGGGTTTTGTTGGTCTCTTCGGAGATTTGGAAGACCATGCAGCATCCTCCGAGTTGCATGTCATACACCTGGGGCAGAGTGACGACGTGCATCGGTTTGTCGGATGTTGGCCCTGGAATTTGTTGGCATGAAATTATTCAATAATTTGCATTATGGCAATTAATTTACATAAATTAACTGATTATGCGAAATTAATTAAGTATTTTTGTATTTGTTTACTTTTTTTACGTAAATGTCATAATTCAATGACTTTTATCAACTTTGACTTATAATCTCTTATCTGTTAGAAAAAAAATCAATTCAATGCTGAATTGTGTTAATTAATGAAAATAATTAGTGAAATCTTGAATAATTTATCAAGTTTGACCCAGACTCATCTTATAAAACAAATATCTATTGGGAAAAAGTCCGTTTAATAGTACAATGGAAAACGACAACATACTTTCAAGGAAAGTGCATTTTCATAATAGGATACATGGATTGCGTAGGAATGGCTTTTCTGGAGAAGTTCCTAAGATCATTTCCTCAAGTGCATAAAATTGTTTTACTGATTAGGCAAAAAATATAAATATGAATTTAATCATGGTTATTCAGGTGTTTTCAGCGATGAAAAAAGGATAATTTAGAAAAAATCAAATGGGTGACATAGTGAAACCGAATCTTGGATTGAGCGAAGAAAATCTTAATTATATTTACAATAACATAAATGTTTTCAATACATTTATGCGTAAATGCACTAATTGCATCGACATATGATATTACGTATATTAGGTAAGTTGAAAATCTCCTATATTCAGATAATAATAATATTTTTTCCATGTAGAGAAAATCTTAAAGTTTACAACGTCCTACTATGATGGAAATATACAAAATCTTTGGTAGCTTGAAATATAATATAGGTTTCTATGTCACATGAAGGATTTGGTTTTGGAGATGAGTGAAAAACGTTGCATTTACGTTAGAGAAATGGAAGAATTGGAGCGTTTTATAGAAATTTCAAATGATGAACTTTGGAAATGTCTCAATCAGTGTGAAATGTGTAATCTGCAGGTCAAATGTACAATACATATTCAAATGATTTGTCGAGGAAAACGTGAAAGATCTTCGTTTGATCTTTAGGTTAGTGTCCCGATGCTAGTACTGTGAGGAGGACGATAGCACTGAGCACACGCTTTTTAAGTGCTGCAGATGAGTTGGAAGGAAGCACGAGGCGGAGGCAGAATTGTGAGTTCTGCTAGAGCCAGAAAATGTTATCAGTGAAATGCTGAAGAGTGCGGAAAACTGGGATATTGAAGCGGGATATTTACATTTCATGGACCCCCAATTTTTTTTCCCTGACGTAGACCCCTAGCAAGTTGTCGATATAGACCACTTTGGGAATCACTGATCTAAGGGAAGTGCCAAACAGGCAAAGACAATCATCATCGCCGAGTAGTACAGTCATACATGTCCTGTGTGCTGACAAAGAAGGGGAGAGGTTTTAGTGCGGTAAGAATCCCACAGTACCACGATCCCACCCGTGGTCTGTATGTAAGGTTTCCTCTCCTCTACAAAAAAAAGGTTAGTGTCCCATTTGAAGCGATTGTTTTAGAGACGAACGGAGAATGGGGAATCTTCGTTAGAGGAACGAAGTTGCTTAAGCATCAACTGGAAGTTATGCAAGAATTGATGTTTAAATATATTTGTCACATCGACAATATTCATAAGTGAAAAAAAAATGAATCAGATATAAAATATATTGCTTATGAGAAATATGTTTAGAGCTGTTACAAATCAAATGGAAGAAACGAAATAAATAACTAAATATACAACGAAATAATTTCATGGACCAGTACACAAAGTGAATACAAAATAGCAGATAGATATTAAAGCCGAGAAAGAGTTTATGATTTCGAAAGGTCACTCTATATATAAACATGATCTCGATTAAAACAAATCAGTTCAACATTTATGAGTAACAATGAAGTGCAGCAACAATTTTTTGGATTATTTTGATGGAAAGTGCATTTTCATAACAGGATGCACGGGTTGCGTAGGAATGGCTCTTCTGGAGAAATTTCTAAGATCATTTCCTCAAGTGTATAAAATTGTTTTACTAATTAGGCACAAGAAATCGAAAAATGTGTCAACGAGGATGTTAAATTATTTTGATAATCCAGTAAGTAGTAAAAATGAAATTATTAATAAAAAAAATAAATAATGTTTGCTGCAGATATTTTCGGTTATGAAAGAAATGCATAAGGATTATATAGACAAAATCATGTGGATGGAAGGTGACATAGTAAAACCGAATCTTGGATTGACCGACGAAAATCTTGATTATATTTACAATAACGTAAATGTTTTCTATCATTGTGCGGCTTCAGTTAAATTTGTGGAAAACTTGAAAAATAACATTACAAACAATGTATATGGAACTGAAATGGTTTATAACGTAGCTAAAAGTTGCAAGAAAATTGAGGTAAAATGAAAATATATGACTTAATAAGTTTTTCTTATATTTATTGTAGTGTTTTATGCATGTATCTACGATAATTTGCAGTCATGGTTTTTCTCGGTCAGTATTGAAAGAAGAAATCCCGGAAAATCCAGTACATGCAGATCGTTTACTCGAGATGGCTAAGAGTATGAGTGTTAATGAACTTTAAGAAAATTGTAAAGAATCTAAAAATTGGATAAACAATTACGTTTTCACCAAAAACCTTACAGAAAATCTTCTAGGCAATAAGAAAGATAATATAAATATAGGAATAGTAAGAATTGGCTGTGGTAATTAACAAAATAATGGAAACGAAATATTATTTTAAAAAAATATTTTAATTATTAGTGATGGAAAGTTACATGGAACCGTATCCTTCCTGGTTGATAAATGAAAATATGTCTAATGTACTTTTGAAAAATCTTGTAACGGGAATAGTTTTCAACATCAATGAAAAAGTTATTCCTTATTGCACACCAATTGATGTATGCGTCAATTCTCTCATAGCTTCTACATATGATACAGCGCATATTACGTAAGTCAACATGCTCATGTCTTCTGAAAATAACATTTTTCTTATTGTAGTGAAACTCTTAAAGTTTATAATGTAGGAACAAATCATCCGACTATAAAAGAAATACTCAAAATATTTATTAAAGAAAACGTAAAGGATCCTTGGTTGATCTTTGGTAGCTTAAAGTATAGATTTCTGTGTCACATCAAGGATTTGGTTTTGGAGATGAGTGGAAAGCGTGGGATTTACGTTAGGGAAATGGAGAAAATGGATTATTCGATAGAGATTTCACGAAAATTTTTATTGAAGGAGTTGTATTGTCACACAGAGAATATGGAAGAACTTTGGAAAAGTCTCAATCAGAGTGAAAGGGAATTGCTGTTTTTTAATTTAAATGACATTGATTTTGAGAATTATGTGAAAAGTTGGTTCAAAATGGAAAAAAAATATAATTCTATGGACCCAATTTCCACAATGTTACATTTAGCAAAACTTTAAATTATTGATTCTATATATTTTTGTCTTTATAGTAATGTTTAAGATGTTATTATAATAATTATGTTATTATTTATTATTTATTATTTATGCAATCTAAATAATTAAAAACAAAAGAAAACTTTACATTTTTGCTCCCATTCTGTCAAATGCTATTTCTACTAAAGTTGAATATTGTAATTAATAAATAGAAAATAATTAAAAGATTACAGTGATTAATTTGTTATTTTTATATCGCATTTTTATGTATGTATTTATTTTCAATAAATATTTTTTTTAAAAATGTATGCGTATTTTGCATTATTTTCAAATCATTCTGTTATTTTACAGAATGATTTGAAAATAATTAAATAAATTAAATTTATTGACGTTTATTTAAATTACAACATATATTACTAGAAATCTATGGTGATAAACTATGCAAGATTTCAATAAAACCTAAACTTGCACAGTTTATCAACTTTGACTAAGAAAGAGTAATTTGGTTGGAAACAAAGAAAGTTCACTTATGTTTTTTATAGTGAAAATCTTAAAGTTCCAAAACTCGGCAAACATTAATCGAAATTTATAAATGGTTATTCTTCGGTGGTTTTAGATAAATTAAAACCTGAAACGTCTCATAGAGATCACGTTAGGATTCGTGTACAGAGAGAATCTGGATGTCCTATCGAATAGTCTTAATCAGAGTGAATGAAAGTTTTTTTTAAAAGAGGACAAATAAGAAGAATTTATTAAATCCTATTTATAGTAAATTAACTTTATTATAAAACAAAATTGTAAGCTAAAATATGATTTCGTGAGCCCTGTTGGTGCTTGCAGCAATAAGGCCATCGTTCATTACAGATGGACAGTCAAATGAATGAGGTTCAGCATATGGACCTTCAACCAAGTCGATGAAAAATGACAGTGTTAAGGATAGCAGCAGATTTACAGTCAAAGAAAATATTGGAATAGAAGAGATAGTATAACAAGACGACAGGCAACCAACAAATTAAAAAAAAAATCAAATCATCATAATGGTAACTATCCATCGGGAAAGATTACCTACCTAATGTCAACCGCGATCTTAAATGTACTCAATGTTCACATTGATGAACAGATTGTGAATGAAATTATACGACATAAAATAAAGTAACTAGTTAATGAAATAAGAGAAATTGTACATGAGCAATAATGTTAATAAGTACAAAAATATTTTTTTCTTAATAATCTCCTCATTACTTTTTATCAATTATAATTCCGTTGACATATACACAAGATTAATGAAAAAATGATAACTATTAAATGAAAATACAGTGTTAATTGCTTGAAAAGGTCATCCGTTTGCATTGGTTAAATAAATTATAACATTGACATATAATTCTTTATATATAAATATGATTTCGATTAAAACAAATCAGTTCAACGTTTCTCACCAACAATGAAAAATAGCAACAGATTTTTAGATTATTTTCAAGGAAAGTGCATATTCATAACGGGATATACGGGGAGCGTAGGAATGGCTCTTCTGGAAAAATTCCTAAGATCATTTCCTCAAGTGCATAAAATTGTCTTACTAATTAGACCAAAAAGGTCGGAAAATATGCCAACAAGAATTTCGAATTATTTTGATAATCTAGTAAGCAATAAAACAGATATTATTAATAAGAATGAAATAATGTTTACTGCAGATATTTTCGGTAATGAAAGAAATGCTTAAGGATTATTTAGATAAAATCATGTAGATGGAAGGTGACATAGTGAAACCGAATCTTGGATTGAGCAAGGAAAATCTTCATTATATTTACAATAACGTACATGTTTTCTATCATTGTGCGGCTTCAGTTAGTTTTGTGGAAAACTTAAAGAATAGCATTACAAGCAATTTGTTTGGAACTGAAATAGTTTATAGCGTTGCTAAAGATTGCAAAGAAATTAAAGTAAAATTTAATATTAATGAAAAAATAAGTTTATTTTTTTAGTGTTTCATGCACGTATCTACGGTTTTCTGCAATCATGGTTTTTCTCAATCAATATTGAAAGAGGAAATCCCAGAAAATCCAGCAAATCCGGATCATTTACTCGAGATGGCAAAGACTATGAGTGTTAATGAATTAGAAGAATATTTTAAAGAATCTAATATATTTTTAAACAATTACGTTTTCACCAAAAATTCTACAGAAAATCTTCTTGGCAATAAGAAAGATGATATAAAAATAGGAATTTTGAGAATTGGTTGCGGTAATTAAGAAAATAATACAAACGAAATATTATTAAAATATTACAAAATATTTTAATTTTTAGTGATGGAAAGTTACAAAGAACCGTTTTCTTCCTGGTTGATTAATGAAAATACTTTCAATGTAATTTTGAAAAACCTTCTAATCGGAATAGCTTTCAACATGAAAGAAAACAGCTAGCGTATATTGCTCAACAATTGATGTATGCGTCAATTCTCTCATAGCTTCAACATACGATACAGCGCATAATACGTAAGTCGACATTTTTCTATTTACTAAAATTAACATTCTTATTTTATTGTAGAGAAAATATTAAAGTGTATAACCTAGCAACAAATCGACCGACAGTAAAAAAATATACGAAATATTTGTTAAAGAAAACGTGAAGGATCCTTGGTTGATCTTTGGTAATTTAAAGTATAGGTTGCTATGTCACATGAAGGATTTGGTTCTGGAGATGAGTGGAAAACGTGGGATTTACGTTAGAGAAATGGAGAAGATGGATCGATCTATAGAGATTTCACGAAATTTTCTATTGAAGGAGTTGTATTGTCATACAAAGAATTTGGATGAACTTTGGAATAGTCTCAATCAGAGTGAAAGGGAATTGCTGTTTTTTAATTTAAATGACATTGATTTTGAGAAATATGTGAAAAGTTGGTTTAAAATAGAAAAAATATATAATCCTATGGATCCAACTTCCACAATGTTACATTTTGCCAAACTTTAATATAACTGAATTATTTATAGTTTCTCTATTTTCTTTATAGTAATATATTATAATTATTAGTTAATTAATGATTGTTTCTAGAATCTATATCTAAATAATTAAATATAAAATAAAGAAACTTCAAATTATAACCAACAAGTCAAATATATAATAATTGTTCAAGTGATTTGTTGTGGAAAACGATCCTTATTTTAATATTAAGTTATTTTGTAATTTATTTTAAACAAGATTTCATGTTGACAGATCGATAATATTGAGAATTGGTAAAAAAAATGAATCAGGGAGAAAAGAAATTGCTTATCTTCAATTTGAAGTAGATTTCCTATGAAAAATATGTTAAGAGAATATATTCAATGAATTAAATAACTAGAAATAAGATAAATTGTACACGTGATTGCAATTTTATCAGTAGAAAAATGAGTAATTGTAAATAATCTCCCAATTACTTTCAATCAATTTAGATCGTAATAATTATATAATCCAGTACATATAAATAGTACAAAATAACAGTTGTGTTTAAGTTTGTGATTATCACAGGTCACACGATTGTGTTGATTAAAAATTAGACTTTTTACAAGTGTTTCCTTATATATAAATATGATCTCGATTAAACCAAATCAGTTCAACGTTTCTGATCAACAATGGAAAACAGCAACAGGTTTTTAGAGTATTTCCAGGGAAAGTGCATCTTCATAACGGGATGAACGGGTTGCGTGGGACTTGCACTTCTGGAGAAACTCCTAAGATCATTTCCTCAAGTGCATAAAATTGTTTTACTAATTAGAAAAAAAAGATCGGAAAATGTGTCAACAAGAATATTAAATTATTTTGATAATCCTGTAAGTATAAAAAAAAGAAATTATTAATAAGAATTAAATAATGTTTGCTGCAGGTATTTTCAGTGATGAAAGAAGTGCAGAAGGATTACTTAGAAAAAATCATTTGGGTGGAAGGAGATGTAGTGAAACCGAATCTTGGATTGAGTGCAGAAAATCTAAATTATATTTACAATAATGTAAATGTTTTCTATCATTGTGCGGCTTCAGTTAAATTTGTGGAAAACTTGAAGAATAGTATTACAAGCAATATTTATGGAACTGAAATGGTTTATAACGTTGCTAAAGATTGCAAGAAACTTGAGGTAAAATAAAAAAAAATAGATATATGAATGAATAAGTTTAGTTTTATTATATTTTTTAGTGTTTCATGCACGTATCTACGGTTTTTTGCAATCATGGTTATTCTCAATCAGTTTTGAAAGAGGAAGTCCCGGAAAATCCAGCAAATCCAGTTCGTTTACTCAATATGGCAAAGAGTGTGAGTGTTAATGAGCTTGAAGAAAATTGTAAAGAATCTAAAAATTGGTTAAATAATTACGTTTTCACCAAAAACCTTACAGAAAATCTTCTTGGCAATAAGAAAGATAATATAAAAATAGGAATATTAAGAATTGGCTGCGGTAATTAACAAAATAATGCAAGGAAATATTTTTTAAAGAAATATTTTAATTTTTAGTGATGGAAAGTTACAAAGAACCGTATCCTTCCTGGTTGATAAATGAAAATGTGTTCAATGTAGGTTTGAAAAATGTTGTAAGAGGAATAGTTTTCAAAATCAATGAAAAAGCTACCTCCTATTGGACACCAATAGATATATGCGTAAACGCTCTTATAGCTTCGACATACGACACTGCGCATAATACGTAAGTTGAAATTCACTTATCTTGTTATAACTATATTATTTTTGTATTCCAGAAAAAATCTTAAAGTTTATAATGTAGGAACAAATCATCCGACTATAAAAGAAATACTCAAAATATTTGTTAAAGAAAACGTAAAGGTTTCTATGTCACATGAAGGATTTGTTTTTGGAGGTGAGTGGAAAACGCGGGATTTACGTTAGGGAAATGGAGAAAATAGATTATTCCATAGAGATTTTACAAAATTTCGTATTGAAGGAGTTGTATCTTCATACAGAGAATTTGGATGAACTTTGGAAAAGTCTCAATCAGAGTGAAAGAGAGTTGCTGTTTTTTAATTTAAATGATATTGATTTTGAGAAATATCTGAAAAGTTGGTTTAAATTGGAAAAAAAATATAATCCTATGGATCCAACATCCACAATGTTACATTTAGCAAAACTTTAATGTAATTGAATAATTTACTGTTTCTATAGTTTATTCTTTCTTTTTTGTAAGTTTATATAAGATATTATAGTTACTATTTTATTTGTTATTGTTTCTAGAATATTAATCTATTTCAAATAAATTTAGTAAGTGAAAATTTTATTTTTTTCAAATTTGCCCCCAAACGTCCAAAACGGGAACGATCCTTGGTTAATCTTTGGTAGTTTGAAGTATAAGTTTTCACATCAAGGATTTGGTTCTGGAGATGAATGAAATCAGAATTTATTTTACAGAAATGGACTTTCCAGAGTAGTCTATTTCGTGTACTGTAACAGAATTGTGATGAACTTTGGATAGGTCTCAATCTCAATCTATAATAAAATAAGGATAATTTGTTAATTAGCGGTATAAACATGATTAGTTCGAAATAATCTCCTAATTATTTTCAATCAAAATATATTAAATTAATAGATATTAAATATTGCAAGAGTTACAAAGGTCTTTGGAACTTTGACTTCTGTTTCTTTGTATATAAACGTGGCATCGATTGAAGCAAATTAGTTGAACGTTTCTGACCAACAATAAAAAATAGCAACAGGTTTTTACAGTATTTCCAGGGAAAGTGCATTTTCATAATGGGGTGCACAGGTTCTGGAGAAACTTCTAAGATAATTTCCTCAAGTGAATAAAATTGTGTTACTAATTAGGCAAAAGAAGTCTAAAGATGTATCAACAAGAATATTAAATTATTTTGATAATCGGAAATTATTAATAAGAATTAAATATAATGTTTGCTGTAGGTATTTTCGGTGATGAAAGAAACGCATAAGGATTATTTAGAAAAAGTCATGTGGATGGAAGGAGATGTAGTGAAACCGAATCTTGGATTAAGCGAGGAAAATCTAAATTATATTTTTAATAATGTAAATGTGTTCTATCATTGTGCAGCTTCAGTTAAATTTGTGGAAAACTTGAAGAACAGTATTACAAGCAATATTTATGAAACTGAAATGGTTTATAACGTTGCCAAAGATTGCAAGAAACTTGAGGTAAAATTTGAAAAAATAGATATATGAATGATTAAGTATAGTTTTATTATATTTTTTTGTGTTTCATGCACGTATCTACGATTTTTTGCAATCATGGTTATTCTCAATCAGTTTTAAAAGAGTTTCCTCTTTCAAAACTGATCGGAAAATCCAGCAAATCTAGATTGTCTACTCGAGATGGCAAAGAGTATGAGTGTTAATATAATTGAAGAAAATTGTAAAGAATCTAAAAATTTTATAAATAATTACGTTTTCACTAAAAACGATACAGAAAATCTTTTTGGCAATAAGAAAGATAATATAAAAATAGGAATTTTGAGAGTTGGTTGCGGTAATTAACAAAATCATACAAACGACATCTTATTTATAAAAATATTCTAATTTTTAGTGATAGAAAGTTACAAGGAACCGTTTCCTTCCTGGCACCTGATTCATGCAAATTCGTTCAATGTAATTTTGAAATTCAGTATCAATGAAAAAGCTGCTGCTGCTGTGTATTACACACCAATAGATAGCTGCTGTCTATTACACACATACGATGCTGCTCATATTACTTAAGTTGAAGTTCACATATCTTCTGATAATTACTTTATTTTTGTGTTGTAGAGAAAATATTAAAGTTTATAATGTAGCAATAAATCGTCCTACTGTGAAGGAAATATTCAAAATTTTTATTAAAGAAAACGTGTGATTTACGTTAGAGAAATGGAGAAATTGGAGTATTTTATAAATATTTCACAAAAATTCGTATTGAAGGAGTTGTATTGTCATACATATCATACAATCAGAGTGAAAGTAATTTTCTGTTTTTTTAATTTAAATGACGTATGTTTTGAGAAATGTGTAAAAAGTTGGTATAAATCGTCTATGGAAAACCAATATACTCCAACTTCCACAATGTTACATTTAGCCAAACTTTAATTTAACTGAATCATTTACTGTTTCTCTATTTTCTTTATAGTAATGCATTATAATTATTAGTTTATTAATGATTGTTTATAGAATCTAAATCTAAATAATTAAAAATAAAATAAAGAATCTTCAAATTTATAACCAACAAGTCAAGTGTACAGTAAATATTCAAGTGATTCATTGAGGAAAACGTGAAGGATCCTTGTTTTAATTTTAAGATATTATACAATTCACGTTATACAAGATTTCATATTGATAATTTGTGATAAAAAATTAATCGGGGAGAAAAGAAATTGCTATTCTTCAATTTGATGGAGATTTCTTATGAAAAATATGTTAAGAGAATATAAGCAATGAATTAAATAACTAGGAAAAATGATGACAATTTTATCAGTATAAAAATGGGTAATTCTAAGTAATCTCCTAATTACTTTCAATCAATTTAGATCGTAATAATTACAAAGCCCAGCACATACAAATTGTACAAAATAAGAGATAAATAATAAATGCTGTGTTCAAGTTTGTGATTACCAAAGGTCACACAATTGTGTTGACTAAGGAATTAGAACTTTTTACATGTGTTTCCTTATATATAAATATGATCTCGATTAAACCAAATCAGTTCAACGTTTCTGATCAACAATGGAAAACAGCAACAGGTTTTTAGAGTATTTCCAGGGAAAGTGCATTTTCATAACGGGATGCACGGGTTGCGTAGGACTTGCACTTCTGGAGAAACTCCTAAGATCATTTCCTCAGGTGCATAAAATTGTTTTACTAATTAGAAAAAAAAGATCGGAAAATGTGTCAACAAGAATATTAAATTATTTTGATAATCCAGTAAGTATAAAAAAGGAAATTATTAATAAGAATTAAATATAATGTTTGCTGCAGGTATTTTCAGTGATGAAAGAAGTGCAGAAGGATTATTTAGAAAAAATCATTTGGGTGGAAGGAGATGTAGTGAAACCGAATCTTGGATTGAGTGCAGAAAATCTAAACTATATTTACAATAATGTAAATGTTTTCTATCATTGTGCGGCTTCAGTAAAATTTGTGGAAAACTTGAAGAATAGTATTACCAGCAATATTTATGGAACTGAAATGGTTTATAATGTTGCTAAAAATTGCAAGAAACTTGAGGTAAAATTTAAAAAAATAGATATATGAATGAATAAGTTTAGTTTTATTATATTTTTTTTAGTGTTTCATGCACGTATCTACGGTCTTTTGCAATCATGGTTATTCTCAATCAGTTTTGAAAGAGGAAATCCCTGAAAATCCAGCAAATCCAGATCAATTACTCGAGATGGCAAAGAGTATGAGTGTTAATGAGCTTGAAGAAAATTGTAAAGAATCTAAAATTTTTATAAATAATTACGTTTTCACCAAAAACGCTACAGAAAATCTTCTTGGTAATAAGAAAGATAACATAAAAATAGGAATATTAAGAATTGGCTGCGGTAATTAACAAAATAATGCAAACGAAATATTATTTAAAGAAATATTTTAATTTTTAGTGATGGAAAGTTACAAAGAACCGTATCCTTCCTGGTTGATAAATGAAAATGTGTTCAATGTAAGTTTAAAAAACGTTGTAACAGGAATAGTTTTCAAAATCAATGAAAAAGCTACCGTCTATTGCACACCAATAGATTTATGCGTAAACGCTCTTATAGCTTCGACATACGATACTGCGCACATTACGTAAGTTAAAATTTACTTGTCTTATGATAATTTCATTATCTTCTATTCTAGAGAAAATGTTAAAGTTTATAATGTGGCGATAAATCGTCCTACGGTGAAGGAAATATTCAAAATGTTTGTTAAAGAAAACGTGCAGGATCCTTGGTTGATCTTTGGTAGTTTGAAGTATAGGTTTCTATGTCACATGAAGGATTTGGTTTTGGAGATGAGTGGAAAACGTGGGATTTACGTCAGAGAAATGGAGAAAATGGATTATTCGATAGAGATTTTACAAAAATTCGTATTGAAGGAGTTGTACTGTCATACAGAGAATTTGAATGAACTTTGGAAAGGTCTCAATCAGAGTGAAAGAGAGTTGCTGTTTTTTAATTTAAATGATATTGATTTTGAGAAATATGTAAAAAGTTGGTTTAAATTGGAAAAAAAATATAATCCTGTGGATCCAACTTCTACAATGTTACATTTAGCAAAACTTTAATGTAATTAAATAATTTACTGTTTCTATAATTTATTCTTTCTTTTTAGTAAGTTTATCTAAGATATTATAATTACAATTTTGTTTGTTATTGTTTCTAGAATATTAATCTATTACAAATAAATTTAGTAAGTGAAAAACTTATTTTTTTCAAATTTACACCCAAACGTCCAAAACGGGAATGATCGTTGGTTATTCGTCGGTAGTTTGAAGTCTAGGTTTTACTTTATAGGTCAAGGATTTAGTTCTGGAGATAATTGAAAACAAAATTTATTTTACAGAAATGGACTTTCCAGAGTAGTCTATTTCGTGTACTGTAACAGAATTGGGATGAACTTTGAATAGGTCTCAATCAGAGTGACAGAGAGTTGCTGTTCTTAAATTTATAAGAGATTGAATTTAATATATAAAGATAAAATAAGGACAATTTGTTAATTAGCAGTATAAAAATGATTAGTTCGAAACAATCTCTTAATTACATTCAATCAAAATTCTGATAGATATTAAATGTTGCAAGAGTTACAAAGGTCTTTGAAACTTTGACTTGTGTTTCTTTATATATAAACGTGGCATCGATTGAAGAAAATCAGTTAAACGTTTCTGATCAACAATGAAAAATAGCAACAGGTTTTTAGAGTATTTCCAGGGAAAGTGCATTTTCATAACGGGATGCACAGGATGCGTAGGAATTGCACTTCTAGAAAAACTTCTAAGATCATTTCCTCAAGTGAATAAAATTGTGTTACTAATTAGGAAAAAGAAGTCTAAAGATGCGTCAACAAGAATATTAAATTATTTTGATAATCCAGTGAGTATTGTATATAAACGGAAATTATTAATAAGAATTAAATATAATGTTTGCTGTAGGTATTTTCGGTGATGAAAGAAACGCATAAGGATTATTTAGAAAAAATCATGTGGATGGAAGGTGACATAGTGAAACCGAATCTTGGATTAAGCGAGGAAAATCTAAATTATATTTATAATAAAGTAAATGTGTTCTATCATTGTGCAGCTTCAGTTAAATTTGTGGAAAACTTGAAGAATAGTATTACAAGCAATATTTATGGAACTGAAATGGTTTATAAAGTTGCTAAAGATTGCAAGAAACTTGAGGTAAAATTTAAAAAATATATATATGTGAATGAATAAGTTTAGTTTTATTATATTTTTTTAGTGTTTCATGCACGTATCTACGGTTTTTTGCAATCATGGTTATTCCCAATCAGTTTTGAAAGAGGAAATCCCGGAAAATCCAGCAAATCCAGATCGTTTACTTGAGATGGCAAAGAGTATGAGTGTTAATGAACTTGAAAAAAATTGTAAAGAATCTAAAAATTTTATAAATAATTATGTTTTCACCAAAAACGCTACAGAAAATCTTCTAGGCAATAAGAAGGATAATATAAAAATAGGAATTTTGAGAGTTGGTTGCGGTAACTAACAAAATAATACAAACGACATCTTATTTATAAAAATATTTTAATTTTTAGTGATGGAAAGTTACAAGGAACCGTATCCTTGCTGGCACCTGATTCATGCAAATTCGTTCAATGTAATTTTGAAAAACGTTGTTACAGGAATAGTTTTCAACATCAATGAAAAAGCTGTCGTCTATTGCACACCAATAGATTTATGCGTAAACGCTCTTATAGCAACTACATACGACGCTGCGCATATTACGTAAGTTAAAATTGACATATTTTCTGATAATTATTTTATTTTTGTGTTGTAGAGAAAATCTTAAAGTTTATAATGTAGCGATAAATTGTCCTACTGTGAAGGAAATATTGAAAATGTTCATTAAAGAAAACGTTAAAGATCCTTGGTTGATCTTTGGTAGCTTGAAGTATAGGTTTCTGTGTCACATGAAGGATTTAGTTTTGGAGATGAGTGGAAAACGTGGAATTTACGTTAAAGAAATGGAGAAATTAGAGCATTTTATAGAGATTTCACAAAAATTCGTATTGAAGGAGTTGTATTGTCATACAGAGAATTTGGATGAACTTTGGAAAAGTCTCAATCAGAGTGAAAGGAAATTGCTGTTTTTTAATTTAAATGAAGTAGATTATGAGGAATGTGTAAAAAGTTGGTATAAATCGTCGATGGAAAACGAATATAATCCTATGGATCCAACAACCACAATGTTACATTTAGCAAAATTGTAATTTAATTATTATTTTATTTGTTATTAAAATTACTACTTAGGTCACAACCGACCAAATATACAAGAAATATTCAATATCAAGATTAGGTTAATGTCCTATTTGAAGGAGTTGGTCTTAAAAGAGTACGGGGAATTTACTTTACAGAAATGGTCTGGCTTGAGCGTCATCACAAAGTTTTAGAATATTTCATTTTGAAAGAAATTTGTGACATTGATAATATTTATAATATGTGGAAAAAAATTGAATCAAAAATAAAATAAATTGCTTTTCTTCAATTTGATGGATATTGCTTATGATAAATATGTTAAAAGCTGGCATACATCAAATAGAAATAAATAACTTCAAATACATCATAATAATGTCATGGCTGGTACAAAAAATTAATACAAAATAACAGATAGATATTAAATGGCGACAAACAAATTGTGATTTCCAAAGGTCACTCGTTTGCGTTGATTAAAGTTATATCAACATTGATATATGTTTCTTCATATATAAACGTGACATGAATTGAAGCAAATCAGTTGAACATTTCTGACCAACAATGAAAAACAGCAACAGGTTTTTAGAATATTTCCAGGGAAAGTCCATTTTCATAACGGGATGCACAGGTTGCGTAGGATTAGCTCTTCTGGAGAAACTCCTAAGATCATTTCCTCAAGTGCATAAAATTGTGTTACTAATTAGGCAAAAGAAGTCTAAAGATGTGTCAACAAGAATGTTAAATTATTTTGATAATCCAGTAAGTACTAAAAAGGAAATTACTAATAATTATTAAATCATGTTTGTCGCAGGTATTTTCGGTGATGAAAAATATAAATAAGAATTATTTAGAAAAAATCATGTGGATGGAAGGTGACATAGTGAAACCGAATCTTGGATTAAGTTCAGAAAATCTAAATTATATTTACAATAATGTAAATGTTTTCTATCATTGTGCGGCTTCAGTTAGTTTTGTGCAAAACTTAAAGAATAGTATTACAAGCAATATGCACGGAACTGAAATGGTTTATAACGTTGCTAAAGATTGCAAAAAAATTGAGGTAAAATTAAGAATTAATAAAAAAAAATAAGTTTATTTTTATTATATTTTTTAGTGTTTCATGCACGTATCTACGGTTTTCTGCAATCATGGTTTTTCTCAATCAGTATTGAAAGAGGAAATCCCAGAAAATCCAGCGAATCCGGATCATTTACTCGAGATGGCAAAGACTATGAGTGTTAATGAATTAGAAGAATATTTTAAAGAATCTAATTTATTTTTTAACAATTACGTTTTCACCAAAAACGCTACAGAAAATCTTCTTGGCAATAAAAAAGATAATATAAAAATAGGAATATTGAGAGTTGGTTGCGGTATTTAACAAAATAATACAATTGACATGAAATAATTAAGAAAATATTTTAATTTTTAGTGATGGAAAGTTACCAGGAACCGTATCCTTCCTGGTTGATAAATGCGAATTCGTTCAATATAATTTTGAAAAACCTTGTAACGGGAGTAGTTTTCAACATTAATGAAAAAGCTAGCGTCTATTGCACACCAATAGATATATGCGTAAACGCACTAATAGCATCAACATTCGATACTGCGCATATTAGGTAAGTTGAAATTTTCCTATTTTCTGATAATAATATGTTTTTTTTTTTTTTTCATGTAGAGACAATCTCAAAGTTTATAATGTAGCGACAAATAGTCCTACTGTGAAGGAAATATTCAAAATATTTGTTAAAGAAAACGTGAAGGATCCTTGGTTGATCTTTGGTAGTTTGAAGTATAGGTTTCTTTGTCACATGAAGGATTTGCTACTGGAGATGAGTGGAAGACGGGGGATTTATGTTAGAGAAATAGAGAAATTGGAACATTTTATAGAGATTTCACAAAAATTCGTATTGAAGGAGTTGTATTGTCATACAGAGAATTTGGATGAACTTTGGAAAAGTCTCAATCAGAGTGAAAGGGAATTGCTGTTTTTTAATTTAAATGACGTAGATTATGAGAAATGTGTAAAAAGTTGGTATAAATCGTCGATGGAAAACCAATATAATCCTATGGATCCAACTTCCACAATGTTACATTTAGCAAAACTGTAATTTAATTATTATTTTATTTGTTATTAAATTTACTACTTAACTCCCAACCGATCAAATATACAAGGAATATTCAATATCAAGATTAGGTTAATGTCCTATTTGAAGGAGTTGGTCTTAAAGAAATACGGGGAATTTACTTTAAAGAAAAGGACTGGCTTGAGCGTCCAAAGTTTTAGAATATTTCATTTTGAAAGAAATTTGTTACATTGATAATATTTATATAACATGTGGAAAAAAATTTAATCAAAAATAAAATAAATTGCTTTTCTTCGATATAATGGATATTGCTTATGATAAATATGTTAAGAGGTGGCATAAATAGTATAGAAATAAATAACTTCAAATACATCATAATAATGTCATGGCTGATACAACAAATTAATACAAAATAACAGATAAATATTAAATGGCGAAAAAAAAATTGTGATTTCCAAAGGTCACTCGTTTGCGATGATTAAAGTTATATCAACATTGATATATGTTTCTTCATATATAAACGTGACTTGAATTGAAGCAAATCAGTTGAACGTTTCTGACCAACAATGAAAAACAGCAACAGGTTTTTAGATTATTTCCAGGGAAAGTGCATTTTCATAACGGGATGCACAGGTTGCGTAGGATTAGCTCTTGTGGAGAAACTCCTAAGATCATTTCCTCAAGTGCATAAAATTTGTTTACTAATTAGACCAAAACGGTCCAAAAATGTGTCAACAAGAATATTAAATTATTTTGATAATCCAGTAAGTACTAAAACTAATTCTATTAGTAAAAATGAAATAATTTTTAATGCAGATATTTTCGGTGATGAAAGAAATGCATAAGGATTATTTAGAAAAAGTCATCTGGATGGAAGGTGATGTAGTGAAACCGAATATTGGACTGAGCGAGGAAAATCTTGATTATATTTACAATAACGTAAATATTTTCTATCATTGTGCAGCTTCAGTTAAATTGATTGATAACTTGAAGAATAGTATTATAAACAATATTTATGGTACTGAAATGGTTTATAGCGTTGCAAAAGGTTGCAAGAAAATTGAGGTAAAATTAAAAAAAAAGAATCAATAAGTCTGTTTTTATTAGATTTTTTAGTGTTTCATGCATATATCGACGATTTTTTGCAACCATGGTTTTACTCAATCAGAATTGAAAGAGGAAATCCCGGAAAATTTAGCAAATCCAGAACGGTTACTGGAGATGGCAAAGAGTATGAGTGTTAATGAACTTGAAGAAAATTGTAAAGAATCTAAAAATTGGTCAAACAATTACGTTTTCACCAAAAACACTACAGAAAATCATCTTGGCAATAAGAAAGATAATATAAAAATAGGAATTGTGAGAGTTGGTTGCGCTAATTAATTAAAAAATACACACGAAATATTATTGAAAAAAAATTTTTTTTTTAGTGATGGAAAGTTATAAGGAACCATATCATTTTTGGCTGATAAATGAAAATGTGTTTAATGTAATTTTGAAAAATGTAGTAACTGGAATTGGTTTTAATATGAAAGAAAAAGCTAGCGCCTATTGTACACCAATTGATTTTTGTATAAATGCTCTTATAGCTTCAACGTATGATACAGCGCATATTACGTAAGTTGAAATTCTCCTACATTCTTATAATAACATTATTTATTGTAGAGAAAATCTTAAAGTTTTTAACGTAGCAACAAATCGACCGACTATAAAAGAAATATATGAAATATTTGTTAAAGAAAACGTTAAGGATCCTTGGTTGAGCTTTGGTAGCTTGAAGTATAGGTTTTTGTGTCACTTGAAGGATTTGGTTCTGGAGATGAGTGGAAAGCGTGGGATTTACGTTAGAGAAATGGCGAGAATGGATCAATCTGTAGTGATTTCACGAAATTTTTTATGCAAGGAGTTGTATTGTCATACAGAGAATTTGGATGAACTTTGGAAAAGTCTCAATGAGAGTGAAAGGGAATTGCTGTTTTTTAATTTAAATGATATTGATTTTGAGAAATATGTGAAAAGTTGGTTTAAAATGGAAAAAAAATATAATCCTTTGGATCCAACTTCCACAATGTTACATTTAGCAAAACTTTAATTTCCTTGAATAATGTATTATTTCTATGTAATTATAATTTATTAGACAGGTAATAACAATAAAAAATATATAAATACTTAATAAATATGTATAAACAAAATAATATAAATTCCTAGTAAACCCTGAAAATAGGAAAAATTGTAATATAAATTGATAAAAATAATTAATAAAGTGGTAATATTTTATTAGTTACTTTTGTTAGAAACTGAATCGTTTGTAAATAATTTAAAATAAAAGAGATAAACTTCAAATTTATAAACAAAATGACAAACGTACATGATTGTTTGTTAAGGAAACCGTGAATGATCCTTGTTTGGAGTTTCGGTTGATGTTCCATTTGAAGGAATTGGTTTGAGAGTGGAGAATGAGGAATTTACGTTAGAGGAGTTGTTTGTGCATCAATTGGAAGTTGTACAACATTTATTGTTAAAATATATTTGTTACATCAATAATATTTATAATACGTGAAAAAAGAATTCAGAAAAAAAGAATTAATATTTTTGAACGAGATTACTTATGAGAAATTTGTTCAGACCTTGTATAATCGAAAAGAAACAATGATATAAATAACTAAAACTGGAACGAAGTAATTTAATCCGAGATTTAGTTTATGAATTTCAAAGGTCAATCGTTTGCGCTGATTTTCAACTTTGACTTGTGTTTTTGTATATATAAACGTGATCTCTATTAAAGCAAATCAGTTGAACGTTTCTGATCAAAAATGGAACACAGAAACAGATTTTTAGAGTATTTTCAGGGAAAATGCATTTTCATAACGGGATGCACGGGTTGCGTAGGAATGGCACTTCTTGAGAAACTCCTAAGATCATTTCCTCAAGTGCATAAAATTTGTTTACTAATTAGACCAAAAAAGTCGGAAAATATGTCAACAAGAATTTCAAATTATTTTGATAATCCAGTAAGTACTAAAACAGATATTATTAATAAGAATGAAATCATTTTTACTGCAGATATTTTCGGTGATGAAAGAAATGCATAAGGATTATTTAGAAAAAATCATCTGTATGGAAGGTGACATAGTGAAACCAAATCTCGGATTAAGCCAGAAAAATCTTGATTATATTTACAATAACGTAAATATTTTCTATCATAGTGCAGCTTCAGTTAAATTGGTGGACAACTTGAAGAATAGTATTATAAACAATATTTATGGTACTGAAATGGTTTATAGTGTTGCTAAAGTTTGCAAGAAAATTGAGGTAAAATGAAAATATATGACTGAATAAGTTTATTTTTCTTATATTTATTTTAGTGTTTTATGCATGTATCTACGATGTTTTGCAGTCATGGTTTTTCTCGGTTAGTATTGAAAGAGGAAATTCCGAAAAATCCAGTACATCCAGATAGTTTACTCGAGATGGCTAAGAGTATGAGCATTAATGAACTTGAAGAAATTTGTAAAGAATCTAAAAATTGGCCAAACAATTACGTATTCACCAAAAACGCTACAGAAAATCATCTTGGCAATAAAAAAGATAATATAAAAATAGGAATTGTCAGAGTCGGTTGCGGTAATTAACAAAATAATCCAAACAAAATATTCTTTAACAACTATATCAATTTTTAGTGATGGAAAGCTATAAGGAACCGTATCCTTCCTGGTTGATAAATGAAAATATGTTTAATGTAATTTTGAAAAATGTTCTAAACGGAATAGCTTTCAATATAAAAGGAAATGCTAGCGCCTATTGCACTCCAATTGATTTATGTATAAATGCTTTAATAGCCTCAACTTACGACACTACGCATTATACGTAAGTCGAAATTCTACGATCTTCTAATAAATAACATTCTTTTTTTATTGTAGAGAAAATCTTAAAGTTTATAACGTAGCAACAAATCGACCGACTATCAATGAAATATACAAAATATTTGTTAAAGAAAACGTTAAGGATCCTTGGTTGATCTTTGGTAGTTTGAAGTATAGGTTTATGTGTCACCTGAAAGATTTGGTTCTTGAGATGAGTGGAAAACGCGGAATTTTCGTTAGGGAAATGGAGAAAATGGATAAATTTGTAGAGATTTCACGAGATGGCTTATGTGAGGAGTTATATTGTCATACAGAGAATTTGGACAAACTTTGGAAAAGTCTCAATCAGAGTGAAAGGGAATTGCTGTTTTTTAATTTAAATGACATTGATTTTGAGAAATATGTGAAAAGTTGGTTTAAAATGGAAAAAAAATATAATCCTATGGACCCAACTTCCACAATGTTACATTTAGCAAAACTTTAATTTCCTTGAATAATGTATTATTTGTAAGTAATTATAATTTATTAGATAGATAATAACAATAAAAAATAATTAACACCTTAATTGGAAAAATTGTAATATAAATTCATAAAAATAATTAATAAAGTGGTAATATTTTATTAGTTATTTTTGGTAGAAATTGAATCGTTTGTAAATAATTTATAAGAAAAGAGATAAACTTCAAATTTATAAACAAAAGGACAAACGTGTATGATTGTTTGTTAAGGAAACCGCGAATGATTCTTGTTTGAAGTTTAGGTTGATGTTCTATTTGAAGGAATTGTTCTGAGAAACGAGTGGAAAATGAAGAATTTACGTTAGAGGAGTTGCTTATGCATCAATTGAAAGTTATACAACATTTAATGTTAAAATATGTTTGTCACGTCGATAATATTCATAATATGTGAAAGAAGAAATTAGAGAAATTCTTCAATTTTATCGAAATTACTTGCGAAAAATATATTAAGACCTGGTATATTCGAAAAGAAACAATGTAATAATCAACTAAAAATCAATGATTTTCAAAGGTCAATCGTCTGCGTTGATTTTCAACTTTGACGTGTGTTTTTTTATATATAAACGTGATCTCGATTAAAGAAAATCAGTTGAACGTTTCTGATAAGAAATGAAACACAGCAACAGATTTATAGAGTATTTCCAGGGAAAATGCATTTTCATAACGGGATGCACGGGTTGCGTAGGAATGGCACTTCTGGAGAAACTCCTAAGATCATTTCCTCAAGTGCATAAAATTGTTTTACTAATTAGACCAAAAAGGTCGGAAAATATGTCAACAAGAATTTCAAATTATTTTAATAATCCAGTAAGTACTAAAACAGATATTATTAATAAGAATTAAATAATGTTTACTGTAGATATTTTCGGTGATAAAAGAAATGCATAAGGATTATTTAGATAAAATCATGTGGATGAAAGGTGTCATAGTAAAACCGAATCTCGGATTAAGCCAGGAAAATCTTGATTATATTTACAATAACGTAAATATTGTTTATCATTGTGCAGCTTCAGTTAAATTGGTGGACAACTTGAAGAATTGTATTACAAATAATATATATGGCACGGAAATGGTTTATAACGTTGCTAAATGTTGCAAGAAAATTGAGGTAAAATTTAAAAAAATATGAACGCATAGGTCTGTATTTATTATATGTTTTAGTGTTTCATGCATGTATCTACGATTTTTTGCAATCATGGTTTAACTCAATCAGAATTGAAAGAGGAAATCCCGAAAAATCCGATGCATCCAGATCGTTTAATCCAGATGGCAAAGAGTATGAGTGTTAATGAACTTGAAGAAAACTGTAAAGAATCTAAAAATTGGATAAACAATTACGTTTTCACCAAAAACATTACAGAAAATTTTCTTGGCAATAAGAAAGATAATATAAAAATAGGAATTGTCAGAGTTGGTTGCCGTAATTAACTAAATAATATAAACAAAATATTTCTTAACAACTATATAAAATTTTAGTGATGGAAAGCTATAAGGAACCATATCCTTCCTGGTTGATAAATGAAAATGTGTTTAATGTAATTTTGAAAAATGTTCTAAACGGAATAATTTTCAATATTGTAGAAAACGCTAGCGTCTATTGCACTCCAATAGATTTAAGTATTAATGCTTTAATAGCGTCAACTTATGACACAACGCATTATACGTAAGTGGAAATTCTGCTATCTTCCGATAAATAACATTCTTTTTTTATTGTAGAGAAAATCTGAAAGTTTATAACGTAGCAATAAATCGACCGACTATCAAAGAAATATACAAAATATTTGTTAAAGAAAACGTAAAGGATCCTTGGTTGATCTTTGGTAGTTTGAAGTATAGGTTTATGTGTCACCTGAAAGATTTGGTTCTTGAGATGAGTGGAAAATGTGGGATTTTCGTTAGGGAAATGGAGAAAATGGATAAGGCTATAGACATTATACAAAAAGTATTATTGAAGGAGTTGCATTGTCATACAGAGAATTTGGATGAACTTTGGAAAAGCCTCAATCAGAGTGAAAGGGAATTACTGTTTTTTAAGCTAAATGTAACATTGTGGAAGTTGGGTCCATAGGATTATATTTTTTTTCCATTTTAAACCAACTTTTCACATATTTCTCAAAATCAATGTCATTTAAATTAAAAAACAGCAATTCCCTTTCACTCTGATTGAGACTTTTCCAAAGTTTGTCCAAATTCTCTGTATGACAATATAACTCCTCACATAAGCCATCCTTCAATAATACTTTTTGTATAATGTCTATAGCCTTATCCATTTTCTCCATTTCCCTAACGAAAATCCCACATTTTCCACTCATCTCAAGAACCAAATCTTTCAGGTGACACATAAACCTATACTTC